GAAATGCCTCATCCAACTCGTTGCCAGCACGTGTTTCACGCACAGTGTCTGGACAATTGGTTGCGCACGCGTCCACACAGGACATGTCCCCTTTGCCGACACGAAATCTAACTCTGTGTCAAAAGCCATTTTTTTTTAAAAAAATGGGACGAGTCCCCCTCATTGGGGACTCGTCCCATTTTTTTAAAATACACACAACGCCAACATTGGGCGTTTGGGTGCAGACCCCTTGAAAATGCATTGGACAGGGCTTTCTGGGGGGGTCACCCATTTCACATACACAATGGACTGCTTCACGAGAGGGCAGTGAGAACGTTTCCAATCATGGTGTCACGACAAAAGAGCAGTGAGAATCGAGGCTTGAGACTATTTATTGTGTCGTTTTGCGTTTCCAATTTTATTTTGCAAGGGTCACGGTGCTCAGCTATTTTTTCGAGTGACTGTACTAATAACAATAACTAAATAAACAACAGCTAAATTCCATTCGTTTAGCATTGCGTCATATGTTGTTCCTACTAAATCGAAGTAGTTGTGTTTTTTTCATATTATACCCAATTTCATAAAGAGATTTAAATTAAACATTATATTGAATGAATGTTGAGTTTTATTAAAGCATGTTTCTGATGAAATGTGATTATACATCAGCTTTTTTATAATTTTATTTTTTAGTTTGTTTTTTCAATAACTGATACCATTTCAATGATATACATGCGTATGCATAGATTAAGAATAATATATTTATCATTTTATTCAATATATGTTTTCAATTATCAAGCAATTACAACTTAAATGAAGATATAGATATAGGTTATAAAAGGTATCGTTATATTTTCTTGAATAAAATTGCAATATCATCGATGATTATCTGAAATCGCGTTTTGACATCACTACGAAGAGATAAGAGCACTGCCAAGTACGTAGTCAACATGATCTTCAAAAGGTTTTCCAAAAAACAAATTTTCCCGTTATTTGACGCAGGGTCCCTTTTCCGGCATAATGGAAATTAATTAGAGGGAAAAAAATCGAGATTATAGAGAAATATATAAAATTTGCTTGTTTGATATTAAGTATCGATTGTTCAAAGATTGTGATAAAATAAGATATCACATACTTATTACCGAATGATAGATAATTAAAATGAGCGTTTCAACAAGCAATACATTACCTCTAGAAAATATGTAATTTGTAAAATAACATCTAAACTAACACCATATAGGTAACAACTGTTTTGGTTTAACAGATGAGATAAAAAGCATACATCCAGTTTATTTCCCTCTTTCAACATTTATTATTTGTCTTAAGTCATGTCGACCTTGAGATCAAGATCACATAACCCGATCTCAAGAACGTCCATTTCGTTTCGAAGGTTTCGCAACATAGGCTCTCGTGATTTGAACGATGAAGCTTGCTGTGATTGTAGTGTGGCACCTTAGTCTTTAGGCTATCTTGGGCATAAAGAAAAAAAAATTAGCTATTGAAAAAAAAAAGAAGCTAACTGCAACCGCATTCAATGTTGTTATGGTTACGTGTAGCGTCATGCATCCGTTGATTAATTAAAATTGTTTTCGAAATAAATACCGGTATTCCTAAGAAAATATCTCAATAAAAACTATTTGCCTTAAAACCGTGTTGCTAAATCATTTATTATTTTAATTTTTTATTGGTGTTTTTTTATTTTAAAAAACTGGAAATCGTGCACATTCTATTAATTTAATTATTCAATATATCTCTGAGTCAACAAATATTTTATATTCATATCAATAATCTGTCAGAGTAACGCTATTTATTAGTTTTGCTGACAAATATTTGAAAGTGTCATGAAAATCCTAGTTTCAGCACCTGGAAAAACTATTTTGCACGGAGAACATGCCGTTGTTTATGGAAAAGTAACAACATTAAAATATTTTTTGAAAATTTTGTTTGAATTACCTTCAAAGAATTTTTTTTTGTTAATTGGTGGAAAAAGTTGTGTTAAAATTAATGTATATATTAAGAGTTTTTTTTTAAACTTAAATCAAGATTTGCTGCATTTAAACAATCTTTTTAACTAATTGAATAAATATTGATAGACTATTCAAAGGAAATAAAAAATTAATTAAAGATGCTCATAATATTTGTAACATCTATAAAATGACCATATCCATAAATAAAATAATAATTTAATTAATTACTAATTATATATAATTTTTGAAGTAATAAACACGAAGGTTAGTATAGGGGAAAACTTCTTGATTGTGAATATCTTTCTATTACATTTTTAGTAATTTTATGCTGCCCCTTCTCTTTAAAGAGTATATGTTTGATAAAAACTGGAGTCTGTGGAATACATTATAAATTGCCATATTCTGCTTTTCCAGTAGACTTAAAGCTCTAGAAGTTGCCACTGCTTATGATCACATGAGCTTGTACAAGTCACATACCATAACGCAAGAGTTGAAATCTTAGACGTCACCTCCATAGTAGAATGTTTGCTGATGCTCTGTAATAAACATATAAATAATTGCTTTGACAAATGTTTTAGTTGGCAGTTGTATCAGTTTAACAAAAAATATTTTATATATAATAATATTTTACAATTGCCTTAGTAGAAAATGTAATTTTGCTTTCAAAATGGCAATGTCAGTCTGATAACATTCTGTGAAGCTGCATAATAATTATTATTATTTTGCTTTTTGTATTTTATTTATTTTAATGTAGTAACCATCTAATTTTAAAAAATTTGTTTTGTAAAGTGTTTACTATTTGTGGTGATCAATAAAATAATGGATTCAAAATCCGTGAATATATTTTATTATATCAAACGAAAAAGTTATAAAATTTATATTATTAAATTTATTTTTGACAATTATTATTATTATTATTTTTTTCAATTATAGGCAGCAATTGCTGTAAGTCTGAGTTTAAGAACTTCTTTAACTTTGGTTACGACAGAGGAGCAAAAAGTATCAGTCAATTTAAAAAGTCTGAATTTGCACAAAGAATGGGACTTAACAGCTTTAAACAGTTATAATTTGCCTGAAATGAGTAAGTATGATTACATATTATTTGTTTAAGATGTGGCTTTAACAAAAAAGATGTGCTATTTGTTTATTTTAATGTTTATTTTGATTTACTTTTAAAAAATATGTTTCTTGTTTTTTGACTTAATGCATGGATTTAGTTAACTTCTTCATTAGTTCAGAAAATTTTGTATTGAATTTAAGTATGAAAAAATTTTAATATTTCAGGTGGAGATATTATATCAGCAAATGACGAGCTTATTGAGCAAATTATGAAAATATTTAATATTAGCTCACCAGAATATTCTTCAGACATTGAAAAAAATGCTATTGTTGCCTTTTTATATCTTTGGATTTATGTATCTAAAAGTTATAATGTAAGGTATGTGCTTTTTTGAACTTACTTATGTTAATTATTGTTAGGAAACTGTTCGTTATTTGTCTGTACCCGATGATCGGTGATTTTTTTTCTTGACAATCACCTATTGCACATTTCTATTGGATCAACTTTCATCACATGCAGGAAGCGGAATCAAATATTGCACGCAACCATATTAAATGACAATCACTTTTTGTTGATTTTTATTGGAGCCGCTTTCATCACATGCCAAAAGCAGAATTAAATATTGCAACCATATTAAATTCGAAGTTCACTTGTATTATAGTCACTTTTTCTTAAAACTCATGAAATGCATTTCATAAATAATTGCTGATCTATACTAAATACCAGGTAATAGTTTTTTTATTACTACTATGCTGAAAGTTTCATAAAAATATCGAAATAGACACACATGAAACTATTATTTTACAATAGTAAACATGCTTTATCTCTGCTGTAAGTTTAATAAAAATATAGCAATATATAAACACAAAATTATTCAACAATGCTATAAATAAGATACATATAAAGAAGCATAAACAAAAGATACAATAGTAAACACAAAGTTACTCACATATAAAATGTGTAACCTTTTTTTTTCTTCTCTAAAATATCTTGAAATTATACTAATCTTTAATCATTAATTAGCAAATGCACAGCTACGAAAAATTTACTTTATGGTCATATTAAATATTTTCACATACAACAAATTTTCTTCATAATGCAGAGAAGTCAATATTACCAGACTCCATTCGAAACAACATGAAATTCCTCAATTTAAAATTACAGTTTTGCACCCAGCTATCGTACTCTTCATCACATCATTTAAAGTGAATTCTATGCGTAACTTCAAAACTAATTTAAACAGTCTTAATTTATCCAGGCAATATTGATAGATTGAAAAAAACAGAAACAGAAAGAAAAAAAACCCCATCAATGTAGTGAATTTTAGGGCAAATTTATAATCTGACTATTAAACTTAAAATAAACACAGATAACAACATCTTGTGTAATGCTTCTAAGTTAATATGAAAATCCACTTCTAATAGAAACAACTGGGCTATTTGTTAACTATTCTTAGGGCTATTCTTTAAAAAGAACATCAGTGTAGTCAATTCTGGGTGAGTTTATACCAGGCAAACGTACTTAAACTAATTCAAAACTTCTGCTTCTCTCACTTTCCTGACACATCACTCTTATCTGTGCACACTGGTAGTTGCTGTAGCCTATGTTGATGAGGAAAAGAAAATCTTGATAAACAGGTGCATAACAATTTGTAGCCTTTTTTGTAACAATGCTATTAAGATGACTTTGTATTTATTTATGTGTATAATTTATTCAATGATATTTTTTCATTTGTCTGTTTCTAAAACTTTTTATCTTGTAAATCTTACATAAAAGGTATAGATAATGCATTATTATTACATCTATGAACTATTTATCAGGGACATTTTTATGTATCAATATATTCATTTAAAATTGTTAAGCTGATGTTTATATGTTTTCTTATATGTTAATTATTATTTATATTCCCTGGGGTAAAGAGCACAGTGAATAGTATATAATTCACCAAAATCAGTGTATTTTTCAGTATTATTTTCTAATCCTTCTTGGTAAAAGAAGTAATACAGAACCTACTACGGAATTCTCTGTCACAAATTTTTATGCTGAATTATTGCTGAATTGGGATTTGAACCCCTTTCCCCTCATTGGTAGGCGATCACTCTATTCCCTGAGCTCAAGGAAATCAACATTGATTGAAGAAACAAAACTTTTATAGACTCCTACTATAAAACTCAATTGGACCAAAGCCCACATTGGCATGGAATGTAATGAGGAGGCCGATCTTGCGGCCAAGTATGCCACAAGTCTTTGGAATTCTGGAATCTGTCCCGAGAAACACCACCCAAGTCAAATCAATAATCAAATTCTTTTACTCGGAACAGTGGAGGTAAGACTGGAAGGAAAGCACCAAAGGCCAGCAGACATTAAAATTTTTCAAAGTTACTAACACAAAAAGACTGCAGGCCAACTTTTACCCGAATCAATTTTTAACTGGACAATGAGTGTTTGAGACATATCAAAATAAATATTTTAATAAAGACATCCAATAAAAATACTGTGGTGAGAAACAAAAAATTATCCATCTCTTAAAATACTGTCCTAAGTACCGGACACTCCGGGAAAACCACTTTAATGAACCTGAACAAGAACACTCATGGTTTGCTATGTTGGCCTGCAGGAAGATATTATGACAACCACACTGGAAAATCTGCTGGTTCTAACTACGAATAATATTTTAGTTGTCATACCATTGCTACGTTACTTCCTTTTAAACTTTTTTGATGAACTCTCCTTGATTTTATTGTGCTTCTAGTTCTCTCCTCTGTATGTCTTTAGCTAACGTTCTTCATTTTATCTAATTTTTATTGTTTCACTGTTTTATTACTATTTTAATGTACTATTTTATGCTATTTTTAATGTTTTTGCCATTTGGTTTTATCCTCTGACCTAAATTTTTAATTTTTTTTTATTTTTGTCTTTAAATTTACTTTGGTCTTTTAAACTTTTATCTTTTTTTCTCTTTTGTTAACATTTTATTTCAACTTCAAATTTTTCTTGGTATTGTTGGCTATTGCCATGATTTTATAATCTTGATTTGAGTTGAATAAATGCTATGGGGTGTGCTTTGATCAGCATTTATGCCTGTATGAGCCTGCTACTCCTCTCCTGAGGAGAGGCGGGACTATCTCGGCGACGGGTCTGATTTCCATTGTATGTTCTTTTAACAGGTGGGTTGTAATATTTAAGACTTATGCTTTTAAATATATTTGTATACAGTGGATTTGTATAATGAACATACACTATTATGGATATATTTAGGGTAGCAATACTATGGCTAATTTAGAGCTTCAAGTTTTTATAGGCAGTTGAAAAATATTTTGTTACCAGATATCATGTTTCTTTGATTTCTGCTCTGTATTTTTAGAAAGTTTCAAACACAATAAAAGCTTCAAATAAGAACTCCATGTTCCCATAACAAATCATACTTCAGGAGTACTGATCCAGAAGTTTCCATGTCTTCTGGATTGGTTCAAAATTACAAAGTTACGTAGTTGAACATTAGTAATCATAAGCCCAAAATTGGGCCGGCTGTTTAGCAACGGTTATATATAAAAAACATCAAATACTGGTTAAGAGATACATAAAAACAAAGCTGGTTTTTGTTTAATACTCCTTAATTTTACCAGAACCACAACAATAAATTACTGATTTATAAGTTCCCAATTATTCAATCAGTAATTTATATTTTCTAACAAAATGATATTAAAATTACTTCTTTGTTTTGATGTTCAACTTAAAACATCTTGATATTTCTAGACTTGAATTTCTTTTATAATTAACAATAACTGCCATTTTTGGCTGAGTTTTTTTCCATGATTTTTATTAAACTAATGCTCATATGAAGTTAAACTGTTGTAATTTTTATGCTATTGACTGTCATATTTGGTGAATCTCATTTGGCTTATTGTTGTTCTACTTATTGTTAAAATTATGTTATTTACTTGTGCATTTGAAACTTCTTGCATTTTAATATAAATTTTTAATATTTTTTGTTTCTAATTTGTCAAAAAATAATGCTAATGTGTGTTAAAAAATAATGTTATGCAGTTTTAACTGTTTAAAGTTTATATTTTAAAACTGATTTTTAACTGATTCAATTTTAAAACTAAATACTTGTATAAAATTGTCAAAATATAGTTTTTTTCAAATTTATACCTTTTTATATTGTAAATATTTCCCCTCCCCTATTTGTGCTCCTTTTTTATTTTTGATTTGTATTCTCTTACTTGCAATTTAAGTTTCCTTAAAACCAATAATTTGTTTTTTCGAATAATAGGAGGTTTTTTAGAATATTATTTTTCTCAAAAATAAAGAACATTTTGTTAATAAAGTGAAAGTAATATTTATTTTAATTTTATTTAGGAATATTTTGTTAATATTGTAATCGCAAACAAAAGAAAAATTATCTGGATTTGAAAAATAACCAACTGTTCTTGAAAAATAATATTTAAACTTAAGTGTGAAGAATGTATGTGTTAGGTGTATAGAATGTATGATTCAATACAAAAAAAAGAATGAAAAATAATTTGACCTATCAACAAGACATATACTATCATTATAGTGCAAATAGGAACTAGCCAATATCCTTCTTTAACAAAGTTTTTTTTTTAATACTTCTAAAATTTTTATATATATTAAGACATTTAAGAAAAGACACTCTCTTTACCTTTTTTTTTTATCAGACATCAACTTAAGTGCAAGCTTGTAAAATAAAAACTTTGATCAATAAACAAATTTTTTTACAACATTGGATAAAGGATTAATATTTAAAGTAAAGAGTGATAAAAAATTTGCTAAGAAATTACTGGAAAATGCAAATTTTTTTACAATCTCTAAAAAAAAAAAACTTGGAGTCAAGTTCACCAACAAATGTAGCTCCTTCAATAAGTCCAATTTTAATTTCGTAGCTACAATTTATAATTCTCAAACTAACTATCAAATATTAAAAAAATTTATTCTCTCCTACTCCTAGCTTCTATGAAGTATAGTTTCTGTAATGCAAAATATAAGGCAATGTAAAGTTAGGCACCCGAAACGATAGTGGCATCACTTACAATTTTTTAATCAGAGAGATTAGCTCTTTGATTTAGCCTATTAAGTTTTAGACCCTCTTCTAGACTTTGTTTTTTAATAGTTTTTGTGTTATGCTGTTTAAGTTATTACTTTTTTAAAGTTTAGTCATGAGAAAGGTTTATATGTTTTGCAGATCGTTTTTCTCTTGCCATGTGATTGTAGATTCTGAATTGAGCATTGGTGCTGGAATGGGATCATCTGCATCATATTCAGTTTGTTTGTCTACTGCAATGCTAATGCTTTGTGGTAGAATAACTCCTAGATTATTGCCCGAGGACAAAGAGATTATTAACAAATGGGCTTTTGAAACAGAGAGGATATTCCATGGGAAACCATCTGGAATTGACAATTCTATTTGTACTTATGGTAATATGAATATTTATAATTCTATGTTTAAATAATTTTTTCCACTACTAACATAAGTGAGTAGTTTTTACAAAATTTTTTTCTCAATGTTCTTATAGGGAAACAATACAATAATACAGGTAAACTTTTATGTACTTTTTCTGTTGTTGACCAAAATTTAAAGAGTTAAATATCTAATTACTGTGTACATTTTAGTAGTATATCACAGTGTAATTTTAAAAAACCAGATTACTTAAGGATTTGGGAGATCCTAATTTTGGAAATGTTTGGAATTTAGACATCTTATTTAGAACAATAACGCCCAAAAATTAAAAAAAATAATGATCGTTACATTTCTATGTACATCAACACTATTTATTGGTCAAAAGATGCTTGAAGAGATGCATTATCTTTAGTGTGTTTGGAATTATTTGAAGTTTTAATGTAAGCAATACATTTTTTTTGATACTTTAGTCAATTATTGGGTGGCATGACTTCTTTATTTTATACCTAAAAATCTCTCACACTTAAATAAAAAGAAATTCTTTTTCCATAAACTTCAATCCATTTCAGTTAACCAAATTTAAAGAAAAATTGCAGACTATTATTATAATGCCATTATGCCAATGATGCCATTTAGAGTAGTTTTGTAGAACTAAGAAGAAGAAAAAAATGACCAATTAAACTATTACAATGGTATAAAAAATATGAAGAGTAATTTTTTTTTATTTTTACGTATGGAATTTTTTGTGAACAATAGACAAAAATCTGTTTAACCTTTCTGAATGTAACTTTGAGGAACGGGAAAAAAATTGAATGTTAAAGTATTTTAAAATAGCCATGAATTATAATGAAAAAAATCAAGCTATAGACATTTAAGTTCTGAAAGTTGACATAATTCAATATTTTTTTTAATTTTCTTATTCTACTCATTTTTTAAATAAATAGAATTAATTTTTTGTCTGTTAATTTTTATTAATTTAATATATTAAATTAATTTAATTTAATTTTTAAAATTCAAGTCTTTTTTCTAACTTTTCTTTTTTCTTTTATACTTTTCTTTTATTAACTTTTATACTTCTAAATAACAGAATAAAAATCTTGTATTCCTTTTTTCCAAATTTTTTTTAAAAAATCCTCCTGCTTAGAACATTGATAGGTTGCACTAATTTCATACATTCTCTCAACTTTTATAAATATATATTAGCAGTTTGAATTTGGTATTTAGAATAAAATTATTTATATTAATTTAATTCTGTTCAATTTTTAATCAGAAAATTGAGCTTTGTTAATAAAAGATATTTAATTTTAGGTGGAGCTCTTCTATTTAAAAATGGTGTTGTTAGTGACATTCTAACAAAGTAAGTTCTGTTTTTTTATCCGAATGTCTTATAGTTTTTTCTAATAATGTATGCATGTGTATATGTTTATGTAGTAATTAAATTCCAGCAAACTCAATAACCAGTTAATTCATTACAAATCTTTAAAAACAAAAAATTATATTTAATTCATTGTAACAATCAGATATTATTTTCATCTTTTAGCATATTGCTGATTTTATACAATCTAATATTTCATGTGTCGGAGAAAGTCTTTTGCCCAAAGCAATTGTCATCTGTCTAACTAAAATACTAATGCTATTCATGACCGAGGATATAATGCATAGAATATAATAATCTTCCTCTTTCATCTAGAAGGTTTTTTTTTTCATTTTGCCATCAGACTTTTTGATGTCTCTGCTATGTCTACTTCCTCCTTTCATACCTCTACTTGTTGATGTTTGCCCCCCCCCCAAACTAGCATGTGCACACATAGATAGAGAGAGAAAAATCAGACATATATATATATATATATATATGCATAGAAAATGTCAACCGTCTCAACCAACCAGGACGCATCAGTCTGGTTGATGAAACATCTGAATTAGTTGAGAACTTTAAAATTGAGTATGGTGAGATTTTTTTTTAATATCATTAAAAATCAGTTTGCTGATTTTCAAATGTTAGATATAGTTGATTTGAAAATGTCATTTCAAGTGCTATGTGCATCCATTTTCACTTACCTTCAATTTTATAACCATCTAATTTTGTTAATTTGGCCAATACAAGGCTAATTTGAGCTTTCCATGACTTCTTACAAATGACTTCTCAAATGACTTTTCTTCATGAAAATTCTTCAAATGACTTCTTACACTTGCAAACTATATTTTAAAAATAGAATGTGTTTCAGAAATAAATGAAGCTGAATACACATTCCACCCTTCTTTGACTCTTGGGAAAAAGAAACTATTTTGCTCTACTTCAACTTCCCACATTCATTGAAACTGAGCAGAACTAAATCCCTCTATTTAAACTCACTATAGGATAAAAAAGAAAAGTTTTTTTTCATCCCCTTTAGAAAACCTAAAAATAAAAATTGGATTTTGTGAAATTTGTTTACAGAACACATGATTCTTGACTGTTCCGATCAGACAATTTCGTTTATCAGCATAGAGATTAAAGTAGCTGAGCTCTTCTTAATAAGAACGACATACCCTTGTAGGCCTTAGTTGCTTCAGACTTGTTCTTTTTCCAGTGCCTCCTATATACAGCACCACTCTTACAAAAATTTAAGGTGTTTTTGAGATTGTTTTGGGTGCCAAAGTTGATTTAAGGTTTATTTGAAGTTGATATCAAAAACAACCTTAAACGATCAACCTCTCAAGATGTATAATCAAAGTGTATGAAGTTATTTTATTCACACCTGCGGTTGTTAGAAATCTACTTCAGAGCAATCAGCTTATATAGGTTATTTTTAAAGTGCACTGGCTATATTTTCTACGCTTCAAGTGAATAAGTATATTTGGGGTGGGAATAATTTCTCCCAATCTTAATTAAAAGTATTGCTGAGTTATATATGAGGATGAATTTATAAGGTGTAAATGAGGTTGAAATTGAACTTTATTAATGAGGTTATTATTGGTGCAAAATATGGCCTCATTTTCTACTGCAGGTGTATTTTTTTTACATCTGTCAACCTTAAAACAACCTCAAAAACACCTTACTTTTTTGTACAGGCACCTCCTTAATTTTTAATTTTCAAAGTTTTCAACCCTTTTATGTCACCCAGCCGTCTACTTTAAAGTTTTCCTCTGGCTCAAGTATAAGCATAATTTTGTGTATACTGACTCTTATTATTGTCATGAAGATACTGGTTTAGCAAGACACTAATGCTATTCATGACTGGAAGTCCATAGAACATAACAAATTTAACATGTAAATACTGTTCAAAATGGCACAAACTATTTAAATGGATTTAAAATTAAATTTTTATTCTATATATACGTTTTTTATTATATATATTTGAAGAAATATCAATCAAAATTTATTATTACCTGACATCAAGGTGATACGAATAATATTATGGCAGGAATAATTCAAAAAGCATCAATAACAGGAAATATTGAATAATCAAAACAGTATCTAAAACTTTACAAAAGAAAAATTACCTAAAAAAAAGCGCAAAAATGGAAATTGAAGTAAAAACACTGACATACATGGCAGCGTCTTCAGGAGGGCATTACCATATCGTCAGTGTGTGAGCAATTTCTGCGGTTAGTGGTAAAATACTGCAAACAATCAAACCTCTGACTGCACCAATAAAATAATATAGAAACTAAAAGCAAGTCAGATGAAGATTATATGCTGAGATCTTGAAAATTGCAGCAGAAGTGCATAAATTTAACCGAAGGGAAGCAAAATTTTTCAGATGAGAATTAAGGCTCGAAGGTTTGAGTATTAAATTAGTTTTTGTGTCACAACCGTGAACAAAACTCAGCAAAGGGAATATTTAAAGTTATAGAAGAGAAGAAAAAAAATATTTGATAAAAATTTATGTATGTATATTTGTGCATATATACACACATATTATGTATATTTACATATATTTATGTATATTTACATATATTTGTTCTTTTTCAGTATTCCAAACATTAATATACTATTGGTAGATACTAAAGTTCCCAGAAATACTAAAGTGATGGTTGTTAATGTGAAAGAAAAGCTAGATACAGTACAAACTTTTTTTATTCATTTGTATTCGGAACTTAGATAAATTTAATGATTATTTTAGATAAATGTAATAATTGATGTTATGCATAATATAACAATGTCAGAACTTTGTGAGCTACAACTTTTTCTTTCATTTACTTTTTATTTTATTGCTCATAATATTTAAATTCTGTTTTAATATTTTGTATATGAGTTTAATTTGATAAGAAAAATACATGTTTTCCTTCATCCCGTATTCCTCACAAACTTTTTTATTAATATTATTTTAGAAACTGAAAATTGATTGCAATTAATACCACAAATATGTAAGATATATATGAGTTCATAAAGTCTGTGCCGTTGGGGTTGAAGTGTAGAATAAAAGAATTTTAAAAGAAGAAATTCATATAAAAAAAACCCCACCCAGTTTTGAAAGTCATATCTGTTCAGTTTTGCGTTAGAACTTGTTTACTACTATGTTTGAATTACACGCACACACAAAAAATGCTTTTGTAAATTTGGCATCCTGTTTTACTCAGTTTTTTAAACAAACAATGCAAATAGTACATAATATAGTATATATGAAAAATTAAAATTAAGAAAAATATTCAAAATTTTTTTCTTCTGAAAACTAAAATTGATGAATGATAATACATAAATGTAAAAAAAGTAAGGTTTTTATCTTTTTCTCAATGAATAAACAATTTTAGTTTTTTAACCAACTAAGTCAATCAAAATGTTAGAGAAATATGTTAGAGATCCTCGTAAATGTAAATCATCATTAGTCATAAAATTTGATATATACAGTGGGGAGCCGATTATCCGGAACGGTCGGGACCATCGCTATTCCGGATAACTGATTTTTCGGGTTTTCTGAATTGCTACAAAAAGCCGTTGTTTTTTATTGTTAAACCCAACTAAAAAAAAAAAAAAAAATTGGAAATAATCTTAAAATTAAGAAAAAACGATGAAGTAATACACTAATGATTATTTCCAAAATGATGGTAAGGTAAACCTCATTAAAAAAAGGCAGAAAAATCGTAAATTCTTTTGAGGAAAAATTTTTTTTAAAAAAATGGCGAGAAAATTTATCGAATTTTGTTCCGGTTTTTTGGTTTTCCAGTTTTCTGATTCCCGGATAACGGGTTCTGTACTGTATTTAAAGTGCAGATAAAAAAAAAAATTGCTGATAACAATTTCTATCTCATGCTGAAAGCTCAGAAACATTTACAATGAAATTGAAAAATTTCTTATTCACATCATCTGGTAATGTAGAGATTTTCTCTGAAAATAATTAAAAATTTTTTTATTTATTAATTTTTAATTTTATGATCAGCTAAAAGCTTAATTAGATTTTCCCAAAAAATATTGTCCTAAGTGTTTTTATCTATATCTTCACATTTTTGATAAAAATTTTTATTAAAACTTGAATTTTTTAAAATTTTTTTTTTAAATTACTTTTTAAATTTTTTTTTTTACAGTATCCAGTTGTAATTGAGTCTATAATGGCAGCTATTGAGGGTATAACAAATGAAAGCTGGAAGTTTTTTAAGGACTTTAACCAATCTACTACCAACACCACAAATGTGAAATCTTTGCAGGTAAATATTGTTATATGTATGTTGAATTATTTGCGAGAAAAACCAAAATACTATATTCTCATATTTTATTCTTATTCTTTTTATTGTTGTTCAAAAAAAATTCAAAACTGATTATTTTGCTTGAAATGCTGTAAACTAAAGTAAAAGCTTTAATACAATGTTTTGTGCTATGCATAAAGTAATTACTTTACTAAAGATTTGGTTTTAATTTGAGTAAATCTTTTAAAATGCTCTAAAACATTTAATAAAAAATATATTTATTTGGATTAAGTTATGTTTAATTTCACCAAATAACTGCAGATAATATTTTAACCCGGTTCACATTTTTGCACAGCAATGTTTACATAAATGTTGTTTCGAAACTAAGAATTAATATAATGATCTAATTTTAAATTATGATAAAATAATGATAAAAAATATGCTTATAAATGCATCTTAATTAATATTTATACAGGAGTTGGTGGATATAAACCAACATTTATTGAGTGCCTTAGGAGTAAGTCACACAAAAATTGATAAAATTTCTGAAGTTGCCAAAAAATATGACTGTTCATGTAAATTAACTGGTGCTGGAGGAGGAGGATGTGCCTTTATTGTTCTGCCAAGCAAAACTGGTGAGCTAAAAGAACTTTAATTTTTAATTATAGACATATTATATATAGTATAAAGGAAAATTTTCTCTTGAGTCTCAAAAATGACAGAGGAGGTAAATAATTGACAAGCAGAGAAAAATTTGTTTTGGTTAAAGCTAGAAAGATTTTTGTATTCTGTGCAAAATAAAAAAGAAAACACCTTAATAACTTTTGATTTATTAATTTAATTTTCACATGCATTTATATTTATTCAAGAGGCTTACCTTAAATAAGGAAAAATATTTGTGTGATAATATTTTAATTTATAAAATCAGACTGTTTTTTTTTTTTGTGTGTGGAGGACATGTTTTGACTCTCAAAATAGGGATAGTAGCAACAATCTAGAAAATGTGGTCTCAATAGTTTAATGAGGACATTATTTAAAAGTTTGGGCTCCTTAATGCTTTGCTTTTTGCATATTTTATCATGTGTCCAGTACTGTTTAAAATAATCAATTAGACAATCCTCTTGAAATAAATAAATTAATTAATTAATTTTAATTCAATTTTATAAAGAGTGAAATAAAGTATTTATATTTCTGAATAAATGTAATAACTAACTTTTTTATTTCAATGCAATTTATATCAATATTCATAACTAGTTATTATTCAATGTTATTATAACTGAGTATCAAAATCTATTTTTTACTTTACCTTCTTTAACCGCATTATCATTAGGTTTACTTTTTGCCCTTAAGACTTAAGCCAAATTATTTAAATGTTAACATTAGATATTATGGAGTCCGGTAAATTGGCTTGACTTTTGGCATTGATCTTTTTTTTAAATAACCCACCTATAACAGATCTCTCCTGTATTATTACAAAGTGCTGGTTACTACTCTCTTTTAATAAGTTAGATCGTGGGGTTAGTAATCTCCTTATATTTATTATTTTACTTAAAATGTTTTTTGGAAAGAAGTTATTTTTATTTGCATTGTAAGTTCATCATTTTATTATTTTGCAAAATAAAAGCTTTATCCTAATTAACATCCTGTTTTCATCGCATACAATTTATGTTATTTTCAACATATATTATCTGCAATTGTATGTAAAGTATCACCTACTTTTCCAATCCTGAACTGTGAAGTCTAATTATTATATTCCATTACTTTTCATTTTTGCCATAATCAACAAAATTTCTACTACTTCAATTAGTCACCCACACCAACTTACACAACATCTTCTTAATAAATCATTCTGAATGACTACAAAATATTTCCTTAAATTTGTGATTTTCATGGAATATTAATTACCTAAAAAGTCATGCATTAGAATCGATCAGTTTTTCTATCAGGAAACTCGAGATACAGTATATGTATAGTTAATAAAGGGAATAAAAGTATTACAAAATTTAAAATAAGTACTCTTTGTACATTTTATACACTACTTTGTAATTTCAAGTGTCATAAGCTTGTTTTGCAAAGCAGAACAAAATGTAACATACAGCAAACAAAAACAAAAGAGTGAGACATTCTAAAAACATTCAAATAACTTTCTGAAAAATTGAAATTTTGAAAAAAAAATTAAGACTTGTGTAGTGTCCAAAAGCAAAAATGGTTTTTTCAACATTTCAAATTTTAACTCGATAATTGCATTTCTCTGACCTGTAGAGGGAGCCATATGGTATTTTATAATACAAGTTTGTATTATAATATCAGTTAACAAGTTTTATGATATTTTTTATTCCAAGGTTAAGTTTTTATTAAAAATAATTTTTGGTTAGAATGTTTTCCCTTTTTTGTTAATATATAAATTATCTTTTAGAATTATTTCTAACAAAGCTTTCTGTTTAGTTGAAAATTAAGTTTAGAATTAAAAATGTTTTTCCTCTTAACACTTTGTCTTGAGGTACAAAGAATATCTTACACATAATGTGATTAACTAATTATATCTTTTGACTTTTTTTTAAATCAAACGTCTTTTCTGTTGAAAAAAATGGTTTTATGTTATTAAAAATGTTTTTATAATTAAGTCAAAATAATATATAAAATCCTGTGTTATTTTTAGAAAAATCAGAATTTCTAATTAAAGATCTTATTGAAGAACTTGAAAGAAATGGCTTTGGTGTTTGGAACCTCTTTTTAGGTACTCCAGGTGTGCAAGCAGAATTTCAGAATTCTTAATTATTATTTTTTTATTGATAATTAAACTTGGTGATTGTGTAAGGGGTAGAATAGTTTTTAAAGATACTGTTAAGATTCCTATATATTTTTATGTTAGATATGTATTTTTTATATACTTACTTTTTACAATGTTAAACATGTAAATAAATGTTTACCAATTTGAGTTCAGAAAATAAATAGTGAATAAATTCATGTAAATTATATAAAGGATTTATAATAACTTTGTGAGAAATTTGAAAAAAAAAACTCCCAGAGAGTTAAATCATTTTACTGACAGAGCATGTGTGATGCGTAAAAAACATCTTTTTCCTGTTAAATATTCAGAATACTTAGTTGATATCAAAAGCTGTGTGTTGGATAGAAAATTCTGTACAAAAAATACTCATTTTAGTTATGAAAGTTGGGAAAGGGACAAGTTTACTTAAAAGCACTACAAAATTTTACGTTTTGAACGTGCTGCTTTTTTCTTTGCTCAGAAAAAAAGGAAAGTTCTACCAAAGGCTCTGTTCCACAAACGGCTGTTATGCCAATCGGAGAAGAAAATTATATGCTGTTGTTGATTCAAGAATACAGCAACTGGAATCAGTTCAGGAATGAACAAAAAAACAAACAACTCAATTTCAAATTGTACTTGTTAAGGACAGTTCATGTCATATTAGTTTACCAGTATTAATTTCTTGATATATTTACTCAAAGTATTTTGTTATTTCAGGATAAGAGAATTAAGTAGTTGGTTGATATTGTAGTGTCAAGAATTTGGCTTATATACAAATAAGATTTGATTCAAAATTTTGATTTATATATTAAAGGTATTGCTATTAAGCTTCATGAAAGTTTTTGTTTAAAACGCGAAAGTGGATTTTTTGCATTGCAATGAAGGAATATTCTTTTTTAATTATATATCGATTAGAAAAGATGTAATTGCATTAATAATTTTTGTTTTCATAAGTTTAACACAATTTCAAAATTTGATAGCTATTAGCTATCAAAAGCTAGCTTCATTCTGTTTCTTAATTTTTAAGATTTTTAAAATGGAACGATTTTTTAAACAAAATGATTTTTTACTTTAATTTGTTTTATAATATTTATAAAAGTACTACATTACTATTGGTACTAAAATTTTGCAACTTAAGTATTAATGAGTAAAAAACATTTAATCAATATAAGAGCGAGGTCATGGACTATTAATGAGTGTAAAGCAATGGAACTCTTAATCAAAATCTATTTATCATTGACTATTTTTTTGAGTCCAAGATTATTGACACAGGTTGCTATTGACCGAATATAAATTTTTTTTCTAAAATTTGAACTTTTCATAATTAAGATCTACTTGGTTATGAACTTGAATTTTTTTTATATTAAATTTGCAAATAAATCACTTGTGTTTCTTTGTATTTTAATCTACTAAATAACTATATAATAATTTATCTCTCATATTGTTATGAGAAATGTGCTGATTTATGACATTACTTTAGAAAAGTACATTTAAAATTTTCTTCCCTTGAAACATTTTAAAAATTTTGTACTGGTGTAAAAAAGGAAAATACTTTTACTGATTAAATTATTACACAGTATTATTATGCTACTATTATTATATCAGTATTTTTAACTGCTAAAAGAAGATAATTGTAGCTGAAATTTTTTAAATCTGTTATTTTCAGGAAGTTGAGAGAATTTTACAGTTTTTAACTCATGAGATTTTTGTTTTAACCTACTATTTTTTATATATCTGTACTTTAGTTTTTTCTTCAAAATTTGAAAAAAAGATATTTACTATTAATTTTTGAATAACACCTTTTTGGGAAATAAAAATTTTATTTCATGTCATTATAAATGTAATTATTAAAAAGTCTTATGTTTTCGAAAAGGAAGGATTTTTAAATAATAGTGTTTTTGTTTTATTAATATTAACTAGTATAGTAATTGAGATTGTTTAATGTATACTTTTTTGTTTGCTGTATATTTTCTCTGTATAATGTTTCCTCCTTTTGTACATTTCAGCATATTTTATTTATATTTATCATTAAGTTATTTTATTTTTGAGTTGATGTTATTTATGTTACTTATGATGTTACACCAAGAAAATGCTATTTATTTCATAATCACACAACAATAAAACTTATTTGTTTTTACTTTTAAAAGACTTAGTTTTTTTTATGTCATGCTGTATTTATGAAAACTCAACCTTCTTCAAGATTTTAAGTTGAAAGCATTTTTTTTAAGGTTTGAAATATATATAGTTTTCTTTATTATAAAAGTTGGTCTTGGTTTGTAGATTTACATCTGGGTATTCCTTTTATATTCAATGAAAAATTATTTATAGAAAAGAATTTGGTATTCTATATCTAGTTTTATAGAATGAGTTGTGTTTTGCATCCACATTCGACTACATGTTTAAAAATACAAGCTAGCATGAAAATTTAGTTTAGTTTAATTAGTTTATTCAAATAAATATTTATAATTAGTTTATCGTGGCTCTATTTTTATTCCTTGTCTTTTTGGTTGGAGACCTATACCAAGTATTCCTTCGAAATCTGCTTTTTTTCCTGGTGGCATTGATATCTTGTACTTTTGTAATATAGCTGTGAAGTAAAGGAAAAGTTCGACTTCTGCTAAAACTTTACCTGGGCAGGATCGCTTGCCTGAAAATAAAATTTAATTTTTGGTTAGATATAATTAGAATTAGACAATGCTAAAGATTTGCGCAATTTATTAGGTAAAATGGTATTTGCTTAAAAATCTATTGAAAATTGCAGTTTTAACAATGTTCAAAGTTAATGATAATTTGTTTTAATTATATTTGACTACCATTTCATACTATATGTCAACCATACTAAAGCTGAAATAATGCATCTTTTATGACAGTTATACTTGAGCTGGAAATAATTTATTTAGTATGCCAATCCTGCTAGGACTTAAAATAGTGTGTTATATTGTTTAAATTTATTTGTAGGAGAATAATCCAACCAAATTTTGACATTCAATGATTCCTAAAAGAGAGATATAAGAATTCTGTCTGTGTTACAGCAAGATTTGAAATTTAACAATATTTGAAAACTGAGAATATCGTTATTTTTTTAATCTTAAAATATTATTTTTTGAAATTTACCAATTTCATGATTCTTTTTTATTAAATAAGCTGTGCTAAATTCACTGACAATATTTTTTCAGAAAAAAAATTATTTTTATCTTTATTTATCTTTCACTCCCCTCTCTCTCTTATATATATTTATATTATCATTGACTATTTTTTTG